GCAGCAGCACGGCCTTCTACCTTGAATGGATCTCTTAACCTTTTGCAGCAGCAGGATATTGGCTTCCCCTGCTTAACCTGTGGCAGGTTAGGGTGTTTCATAAATTCATAGATGTTTGGGTTACCCAAGCCCCTACAGCTGGCCTAGCTCCACGCCCCTCCTCCTCACTCACCCCCACTTACCTGATCACTGCTCCCTTGTGTGCCAGAGTTGACTGTAGTTTTACTAAGAGGGTTAGATTGTGGAATTGTATAGGATTGTTTGGATAGGGATGTTCCTGCCTCAGGCACGAGATTAGATTAGATGATAGATGGAGTTCCCTCCTATCCTTACTTCTCTATGATTCCATTATTCTCTCTAAGGATCTCAACATGGTTTAGACCTGTTAAATAATTCATGTTTGCATCTTTCCTGGGGAAGATAGGCAAGGATGATTACATGTGGGGATATCAAAAAGCACAGAGATCAAATGTTCACTTCTGCCAAGGACTAGACACTTTGTGGGGAAACCAGAGACTTTCTATTGTCCACTGAAGCTGATTTCAGAGGCACATTTAGAAAGTGCTGTATGAATTAACAGAAGCTGTGGTACTCAGCACCTCATTAATGATCAGTACCTCTCAAGATTGGGTTTTGTGTGATGTACCCAAAATAACATAGGGAGTTTGCAGCAGAGATGGGAATATAGATCTGATCACTGGAGTCAGTGTCCTTTGCTTTGGCCTTAAAATTATATTTCCCTGAAACATCCTAGAAATTCAAAAGAAAGAGCTTTAAAACTTTTGTCTTCTGTCTTTTAAGAAAACAAAATTCTGGAAAAGGTCATATCAATTAAAGTCAATGTTCAAAGCTGATAGGTACCAAAATCAGCATTTGAGTATATGTTTAACTCATTAGTTTTTCAAAGGTGCTTCCTGTCACAACCCAAAGTTGTGGTTTTTTGTTTTTGTGTGCTTCGGCACCGCTAAATTATGTTCCCACCAAATTGCAGCTTCTTTACACGGTGGAGTTTTCTTTTGCAATACTAGAACCCGCGTGCAAAAGAGTATTTCCCGCCGTTTGTAGCCTTCTTTGCATGGTGCATTTCTTTTGCATCATAGTGATGCACGGTGCAAAGGAGTTCCCGCCATTTGTATTTAGATTCGTTCCACATTATTGGCCGGTTCTAAATGTAGGCATACGTGGCATCTGCCCAAGTCGGAGAGAGAGGAAACCTGGAGAGATACAGAACTCACCAGGAGGAGGAGACTTCGCGCTGCGTGAAGATCTCCAAGCGATGTGGACCCTTGCGGACCCAACGCACCTTTCTTAAGCAGGCAACGGAGGTCTGTTTAGCTTCTAGCCTCTCCCCGTCACCAAGCGCAATCCTAGACGTATCCCTATCCTATATACCCAATTTTCAAACCCACGGAGTCTTAACAGCTCCGGGGGACCTGGGAACCGAACAGAACCCACGGAGATTCAGCCACTCCGTGAGGAAAGAATTGCCGAACCCGCGGAGCCTAAACCACTCAGGGGTCAAAGAACCGAGTTTGTCAGAGTCCTCCAATGAGGATTCAAATGGAGCTGCGCCTGGAAAGCTGTCCAGCCTACACCGCGACCACCTTGGGTGTAAGTAAATAATCTTTTCAATCAACCATTACGCCTCCGTAACTGATTCTAGCTGGCGCGTACCTTACCGCTCTGCGGTTTTCTCCGGCCCCGCATGCCCGGGCTGCTGGCCACAGTCCGCGTGCACAAAGATGGGCCCAGCTCGCACACGGCGAGGATGGGATCAGGAGCTGGCCCGCACAGTGACGTGTAGGTGTGCACGTGCAACCCCTGAGAGCGCTGGTTCACCCCCTGTCAGCCAGCATTCCTGGACGGGGGGGCAGGTGAGAGCACTAGTGCCCCCCCTGAGAGCACTGGCTGGGGAGTGGGGGCTCACCTGGAAGTATCAGCAGCACAGCCGGAAGTGCCAGTGGCACAGTGCTACTACTTGCAGGTCAGTAGGATCAGCTGCAGGGGACCACTCCTGGGTCAGCAGGATCGCCCCCACCCAGTCGGTGAGATCGGTCACAGGGTGACCGCTCACCCCGCCCAGTCGATGACTGGCCACTGGGGGCAGGTGCCCCCTCCGACTCAAGAAGCACAAGTCGCCCATGCTTGATGCACTTAGAAATACCTGATTTTTGTCATGCCATTTCTGTTTTTGATTGTATCCCACAGGTTCACTCACCTAAGTCTAAACCTATTTCATCGCTAGTATGTTTGCTCCATTTTCATGAGTAATATTGAATAATTCATGATAAAAGATGGCATGAAAAGGACAGCTTGGATAAGTATCCAAAAGTTTGAGTACTTATCTGAATATCATTCATATTCTTTTAATATCTGTTGTCTGCAAAATTGGGCTGTGAATTTCATTGGAGCAAACATGCTGATGGGCAAAATAATTTACAAATAACCTTGAAATAGCACATGCATGCATTTGCAAATAAGTCCAACAATGTAGAACATGCATCTGTAGTTAATATTCTGAACTTATATCATTTGAAAACAGATAACAAGCCATTCTCATACTTTAATATTGCAGGCCATATTCTATTTTACATATGCACATGTATGTGTGATAAGCAATGGTTAATTTCAGTGGGCAGAGCTAAAGTAACTGAAGACATAAAGTTGGACCTTTCTGCAGTAGCACAACAATGACAATCATGAAATTCACAGCATTACACTTACTACGTGTCTCATAAAAATACCAGAGAAAATGTTTAGGTTGAGTTTTCATAGTCATAGTCTTATAATCTCATTGAACTCAGAAATGTGGTATAAATGGGAGTTGACCAACACACATGCTAAAAGGTCAATGGTGCCTGCAGATGTGCAGGGAGGCTGCTCTGACGCACTGTAATTACAACAAATCAGAGTAGACTTGATTAATCGAGTCTGCTGAAGCACCCTAATTAACACACTCCATCCAACCTCCAGGTTTCATGTATCAGTGGATCCACGTTCAAAATAGCGGTGGGGGTGTTTTAACTAAAGCTTGCTCAACATGAAACAATAGATTCTATGAAAAAATTAAATCTTAGGCCTGGTACTGTAACACTTATTCTCTCAAATAGTCAAATGCAAGTCTGTAGACTAAAGTTATGTAGGATTAGGCTTCTTTTGATTAGCTTCATTTTATTTTGTTTCCCCATATCTAAAATTTCTTAACTAATTTTTCTCTGTTCCTTTGGGCTAGATACAGACATTCAAAAAGCCCAAGACCACATTGATCTAAGTTACATGGATTTGGGTATGCAGCATAATTTAGATTGGTAGCAAATAGAATGCACATTTGCACTTTGGTGGTGGAGGGCAGTGGGCACATCCTAGACTGGGTTGTGCCATTTTTAAGCCAGTCTGTGTGTGCTTAACTTCTGTTTTGTAATGGGTACAGACTGGTTTTCAATCCCTTACACCAGTAAAAGTATAATGTCTGTCCTTGGCCTTGATATCTATTTATGGAGGTACAGTTATTTTATTATTATATTTTACACACTTTCAATCAAAGACATAACCACATGCATGCAGGATGGCTATACCTGGCTTATCCACATAAGTATCTAAAGGTTGGGATATTTATATGAACTATCTATGCCAAGTCAGCTAGAATAATTGTAAGGATGGGCTGCTCTGTGTGGTATGAAGTGTATCATATTGTTGGTCTTGTGAGAGAGTAGAATAACCATATTTTTCACTTCATTTTGTGCTTTAAGCTCCATCCTGAAACAAAAGTTACAGATCCTGAAGAAAAAATATTGTAGGTGTTAGTGTTGAGAGGTAGTTAGCTGTGTTAGTTTGAAGTTAGGCAGATGGCAGGGTAGGGGAATAGTTTAAAGACTAACTTTCAAAATGCATTATCTTTCTTTGGTGGTAGCCTATGTTATCTGATGGCAAGTCCACCCACAGCACCTAAATGGCCTGGCATCTTGTCAAATCCATAGCATCTGATGATGTTAGCAGGCACCTACAAACGTTTATGCCTTTCTGAATGAGTTAGTCTTTAAGGTGCTATCCTGCCCTGCCTGTTGTCAGATCTTAATGCTGAAATCAGTTTGGATGTTTTTTTCTAACCCAAATAGTTCACATATTCTATTAAAAATGCATTTGCCTATTAAGAACAATTTAGGACCATGGCCCAGATTTTTAGTTGTGCAATACAACTTCAGTTCCACTTAATGCAGTGCAGCACCGTTGATTTAAACCAGTAGGCTCTATATTTTAACATGAGCAGAGAGGTAGTTAGTCTGAACTCAGAGAAAGCAGCATAGAGACACACCGTTGTAGACTAACTAAATAAGACATACATTGAGAGCACAAGCTTTCATGAACACAAGTTCACAAGCATCTGATGAACTGAACTTGAGTTCACAAAAGCTTGTGTTCTCTCTCTCTCTCTTTATGTATGTGTATATGTGTGTGTGTATATATATACATATAACCAACTGAATAAGATGTGTGTGCAGACACACACACACACACACACACCTTTTTCAGTTAGTTTACAAAGGTGCGTATGCACCTTGTCTTCTATTTTAAGCTCCATCTCTCTATTTTAATGTAATATAAAAAAAGAAAAAATTCTGAAGTATAATTTGAAACTGGTTAAAACATTTTTGACAAAATTTCACTTTACTGAAACCAAAATATTTTATGGAGGCATGTTGTTTTTGACCAAATTTTCATTGGGAAAGGGTATTTTGTGAGGAAAGAGGAGGAGGCGAGAGAGATTCTTGGACACTATATGGAGCCTGGTGGTTAGACACTGACCTAAGATGTGGGAACTCTTGCTTCATACCCTTCCTTCCACTCCCTCCCTTCTACACACATGTTTTTGTGAAAGCATTTGGGGGTGTTTGTTCCAATATGTAATAAAAAGTTATTTCTAAAGCTCAAAACTGTCATCCTGTGGACAGCTCTACATAGACACATAAATTGAACTCTTCAGAAGAGAATGGGTCACTTACCTTTATCACGTGATGTTTTTCATGATGTATAGGTATCTTAAACATTTGGCACCAATATGTTGTGTCTTTTTCTGGTATAGGCACCTGTCTTAATAAAAGGGATAGAAATAACGGATATGACAGCCACATGATTTTCATGTCATTTCAGTTAACAAGTTTGGCAACTACCTGACTCCCTTGCATATAAAAATAAAAACCAAAGTAACTTACGTGTTTATTTGTCAGGTCAAAATATGGCAATGAGGAAGATATAATATTTGTTTTCTCTGGGTTCAGTAAACGTAGACTCTTTGACCCACGATTAGATCCATGATAATTTTGACCTGCTTCTCCAAGATCTTTGTGGTGGTAGGCCCATATCACCCGCATTGTGCTCTCCTTAGGGAAAAGAGAGTAAACTTTTTAATTGGAAAGAAGCCTTCCCTCACACTTGAGTTCAAGCAGTTCCTAAGGTGGTGCTACTGCATTGTAGCAATGGCAATTTATATGAGGTGTGGATATGTACAAGGGCTGTGCAAAGCAGCACCATTTCGTTTTGACATTTCAGTGGAACAGTGGTTCATTCTGAGTTTTGTTTCATTTCAAAACCACTGTTCTGTTTTGTTTCGTCAAAACTGTTTTGCTGTTTCACCCGTAGGCTATAATGAGGAAGCACAAAACTGCCTATAACTTTGTCATTTCTTGCTCAATTCAGATTAAACTTGCAGGGATGGTAGCCACTTCTGAGGTCATGAAGCCTGCCAAGTTTCAATGAGATATGTGCAGGGGTTTCTGGAAAACCGCACCTCAAATTGTAGTCAAGCAAAATTCAGGTCACTTGTGTGTGTTAAAGCAAAAGATATTGTGGAATCCCACTGCCTGTGCCTGAGACTGCATCCCCTCCAAGGGCAAGTGGAAATCAAATCAATGGTAGTAGTAGACTTTGTTGTCTAACACTCCTGAGTTGCTGGAAGATAGCTCAGTACCTATCAGATCCCGAGGCAGAAAGCAGGCCAGTTCAAAAAATTCTGCCTTTTATGCTGTTATTCCATCCCTCCCCCAGAACACTGGGAATGAAAGGGACCTCAGGGAAGGTCCCTGGCCAGTGATACGGTCAATATGAGAGCAGTCCTTCCCCCCTCTTCACCCTCCCTCTCCTTACTTTCTATTTCCCTGCAGGCAAGCCCAGCTTGAGCTTCGAAACTTGAAATGTTTTGAAAATTTTGAAACATTTCAACTGCCCTCGTTTTGTTTCAAGGCTGCTTAGAAGCCCTTCATTTCATTTTGATTTCACTGTCTGGAGCTCGAAATGAGCCAAAACAGCGTTAAAATGAAACAGTCAGCAAAATTTCACACAGCCCTAATATATACCCTTTCCAATACCAACTTTGGTTTTAAAATCAACTCTTACATTTCTACAGTTACTCTCTTCTAATCGTTTTCTTAACAGGCTTATAAAGATGGTTAAGTCATTCTTCAGTAGATCTAGTAGTTTATTCTGCCATTGAGACATGCCCTTAAGGTACACATGTTGCTTCTATTAGTTAGGTTTAAATTCATTCATAGAAAGTGGAGCAGATCCTTAAGGAGGTAACTGACTAAGCAAATTAGGCAAATCTCACCATACAGATATTACCAGTGATCCTCCATGGATCAACTACCAAAACAAGAACCATCAACATAAATCAGTCCTAGGGCCCTACTACATAAAGCTTTGAATGAAATGCTGGCTGAGTGTCCCCAAATCCCAGTGAAGCCAGGCATTCACCACCTTAAAAGAATAATTCAGCATCTCACAAAAAGATCTTTTAAGTATGCCACTGTGGCAGAGCACATTTGATGCCTACCATTTTAAGGGTTGAGAGCAGGCAGCAGGGAAGCCAGCAGATGTGGGCCAGCCCTGATGAAGTGGTCACATGACTGCAGAAGGGCATTGTGATAGGAGGAGGGGGCTGAACAGCCTCCATTTTAGCTCAGGCCCTCAGGGAAGCCAAGCAGTTTGGTGGCAGCAGCCGTGGAGAGAACACCACCCAGCTAAGCTGCTGTTCATGGAACTTTCCTGGTGGTAAAGGCAGGATATATGGGGATGGCAGGAGGCTCCTGGCCCTGGGGCATGACATAAAACTACATCCTGCTGGGGTAGGATGGTCTGATGGGTCTACCTGTGGAGGGGGGTGGTCCCCAGAAAATGCCAGGCTAGGTGCCTCCCCAGTGAAAGGTGGGGATGTGGTGCCTTGAAGCCCCAGCCCCAACATCCTGGTGGGTTACCCAGATGTAGGGCCAGGCATGTCTACGGACATCTGAGTCCCGTTGGGTGTAATGCCTACAGACACCTGAGCCCCATGGGCTGTAAGACCCTGGAGACCCCAGAGAGGGGGCAGAGAGAGATCACCCCAGTGAGGAGGCAGAAGTATGTGTGGCAGCCCGCACAGAGTAGGGTACAAAAATTGGTCGTGAGGGGTGTAGAGTAGGGTTGCAGGGGTGACGTGAAGTGCTGCACTGAGGGTGTGCTGAGTAAGGCTGCAGGGGCAGCCTGAAGGGCAGCACGTGGGCCAACCCCCATAAGAACGTAAACCTAAGAGAGTGGCCCAGAGAGGGGGTAGTGACTGACTTCAGCCCAATGTGAGACATAAGACCAGCAGTCATGTAAGGTAGGATCTGTATGAGGGCAGCCTGAAGGACTGCATGTGGACCCGCCAGTGTGAGTAGGAAAGCCTGAAGGGCCATTTACAGTAGGCCCCAAGGGGGACCCAAAGGAGCTGGGCGGAGTAGGATGGGTTGAGAGTGGCCCAGTGAGGGACAGTATGAGCAAGGCCCAGAAATAGCCAGTGTGTTTGAGGGCCTGTGAACAGAAGAGTGTTAGGGAAGAATGCTAGAAGCCTGGCAAGGGGCAGAGTTTGACCCAGCCACAGGCCAGAGCTATTACTAACTTATGATGCAATCTGCGAGGCATGGGACACAGTATAGGGTAGGTTGGAGCTATGTATAATGTTCTAGGTATCACAGCACTAAATAGGCAGCCTCCTGCATTTTACACCAGTTATTTATGCATGAAGTCATGGCAGGAAAGACAGGGCAGACTGCCCCATGACAGGTGGACAGGCCGAAGGTGAGACTTGGTCCGGAGATGGCCCCGTCATAACCACTACCAAATCTTCTGTGGCTCCAGAACAGTCTGGGCTAAGTGTCCATCCTAGTTAACTAAATGATAGTTAGTCATATTGGGGCAGGTTTTGAGCTGGTATAAACTGTCAGAGCGACACTGACATCCATGGAGGCATGACAGTCTATGCCAGCTTCCTTTAGTTGTCAACTAGAATTATTAAGCATTGTATAATGATCACACAAGATTGTTTTAAAGCTTCCTATCACAGCAAGTTTTCTAGAGTTAGAAAATAAACACACCATGGTATATGACTCGATGCAAGTATTCCTTCTTGATCTGTAAGCTTTAATCTTATTGTCAGTGAGTGTGCAAATACTGATAAGGAAAAGTAAATAGAGTATGGAAATCACTATCATGTAAATAATAGGACTTACTGTGGACAGTAAAGACATTTATCAAAACACTCTTCAGCTATTAAAAAAACCCCAAAAGCCCAGGAATTGAAATACTGAATATGTTTATTCTGCTATATACACAAAGTTTTTTAGACTGAAATCAAGAATAAAGGATTAATAGATGAGGGATTTGAGAAAATTATTCCAGAAAGATAAGAGGGAGAAAAGAAATAGGAATTCAAATTTAATTACACTTGCATACTAAAGTATGCACAAACATACACGTTTACTTTATAAATTTAAGCTGAAAAGCAGAATTTTAGGGAAGTATGTCCATAAGCCAGATGAGAAAATGTTGCACTTGAATGATTATTTTTTTACAATCTAAGAATTTTTAATAACTTTCTTTACAAAAGCATAGCTCTATTTGATCTATCTTATTGACTTGATCTCTCTTTGTAGAAGCAGACTACCTTACCGTTATAGGCTTATCATTTGTATCACAAGTGTGCAGCTCTCTACTAAAAGCCAATATTGTATGTGTACTATTTTCCATGGCATACTCCAGATGGTAATCCTGTTGAGGGTCTCTTTTCAAAGCTCTGTTCTCATCTGTGAAATAATCCTATTGAAAAATATAAAACAAAAGCATTTGCTGTAATTCATTATAATCTAATATTAAATATAAGAACACTTTTTGATCCAAAAACAAAATTATTTAATCATGTGTTAAAAGATTTATTGAGGGGGACAGCCAAAAAATGATCTTCATCTTTTTCCAGCAGATGAGACTTAGTGGGAAATAGCTGAGTTTACGTAAAGGCAGAGCCTTTAATAATGGGAGGAATAAATTGCTTGTGACTAAGTGCCTACTAAAATCAAAGAGGATCCCTAAAAGACAATAAGCCCAACTCATCTTTACTGGAACATGACTGATTTGAATGGAATTACAGCAAGAATGAACTTTTCCTTATGTTCACTTCAAAACCACCCCCATTTCCTTTCACCCCAGCATTTTGTTCCTTTTTTCCCCACAAAAAAGTATTTCAGATGAAAAAAAAACAACCCTTGATGATCCAGTCACCCTAGAGTTAATGAGTGTATTTGCTGAAAGTCTGTATTAAACAGGAAAATTCATGTCATGAGACCTTATTTTGCTCATACCAATACCAGTCTAAAAAGCACATTGTTCATATGGGAGCCCACTGGAATGTTTTCCTGGGTTGTTTTTTTCTGAAGAAAGATGATCACAGTCTTCAGTGCAGGAGAAGTATCATATAATGCAGAAGCTGCTTTAGTAATGTCATGTCATTAACCTTTTCACCCCTGAATTCTTTGCTGCCATGTGCAGCTGCTTGCTAGCTTTGCCTAATTCCCCCAGGCTGACCCATCCCTTCCTATTGACAGCCATGTAGCTTTAATGAAAAGGGCTTTCCATAGGCTTGTGAACAAGTACAGCCACATAATCTAAGTTGCCCTTCTTTGAGTTTTAGGCCCTTTCTGCACAGTTTTCTGCTCTGCGCACTGAACCATGGAGAGGAACATCTGGCCTTCAGTTACATAAACATCAGGAGAAAACTGCTCCCCAGAACATGGTAGTTTTCTCCCTCATGCCAAAGAACTTTATTTGAAGAATAATTTTGAACTAGTAGATGCATCTGGGGCCAAATAGTTTTTAGATGGATTCTATTATTTACATTTTCAGGTTCCAGAAACAATCTCTCACTTGGCTACAAAATAGAGTTTTAAAAGCATTTGGACATGAAGGCTTAGGAAACTGAATGCTATCCTGGAGAGCCAGAGTCTATGCTTGCCCCTGCCAAAAAGGTACCATGTGATACCTGGCAGGTCTCTTTCACTGCCTTTTTTTCACATTTGGTCATTATTTTTTTCATAATTTTATGGTTCCCACCTTTAAGAATGACAAATCCCAATTGAAACAGAAAACAATGGGATTTATACTTTGAATACATACAGTGCTATATATAGTAGCCGCAGTAGCTTATTTACAACTTTTGTTAAAGCAATAGAACAAAATTGACAATAGCACTGTACAAAATATAGCATTGTAATTACTGTTAAAAGCATACATTGATATTATCAGTTTAAACTACACTAAAACAAAATATAGTTTATAATGATAAAAATATATAAAATGAAGCAATATACAATAGTGGAGATAAAATAAAATAAAAACAGCAGCGATCTATTTGATTTTAGCATATATTTTTTTCTGCAAGAAATGCAAATATGCCTAAGTTGTTAGAGAAGCAACATTGATTTTTGTTTTATTAGCCCAGGATTTAAAACTTTTCCACTAGTGGAAAATCTGCCCTTATTTCTTTAGACCACAAACAGTGATGTAAGTTATCCATTTAATTCTTCCCTAAGAACATATCCTATCTGTATATGGAATTGGACATCACCCATAAAAACTGGACACTTTTACCTTAGTACCCTGTGCCTTCGGTACTGCTCTGCAAAATGGAAATAATACTGCCTACCTAATGTCAATGTTTTAGAAATTACCGTGTTGTTCCAATTATAAGTTGAACCTGCATATAAGGCAAACCTACATTTTCAGTTTCCAGTTTAGTAAAATTGATTTTTCCCTGAATGTAAGTTGATAACTACAAGTAAAGACCTTACAAAAATCATGCAAAGAACTAAGAAAAGGATCCAAAGAGTTAACTGCTCTGAAAAAATACTAAAATAAAAACTGCACTGAAAAAATGTCTGACTTGGTATTATTATACAGGCACAAAAATATTGCAAGCACAAAAGTTAAGACTTTTTGGAGTAAAAGTATATGTTAACCCCAGGAATAAAACGAGTGCCACTTTTATAATTATTTTAGAAGAAAAGAAAGTAGATTTATAATCTGAATTATTCAGTAAAGTTTATAGATCACTCAGATACTGTTTCAATGAATGCCATAGAAAATGCTGTGAGTACACTCATCAGTCTGTATGCAAAACAAGGTTTGAATGCAGAAATGTAAATAAGACCAAGTATCAAAATTTGACAATACGGGTGAAACAAAATATTGAGGAGCTTTTCATTGAGTACCATCCATCCAGTGGAAGAATGTGAATAGAGTAGTGTGTGTGTGTGTGTGTGTGTATTATCTCACACACACACACACACACACAGAGTATATAAACATGTAACTAAAAACTGTAAAATAAATACATATTTGAAAGGGAGCCAAATTTAAGGATGCATAGGCAATCTTTGGTCTGGCATTCCCTGAATACTGAACACTTAACTGTACAGTCTTAACAACCTTTTATACCTAGTATTTTGTGTGCAATATTCATGTATAAGATGTTCTGTGGTCTACTACCAATCAGAACTTTTTGGCCTCATAGTTAACATCCTAAAAACTAGAACTCAGTGTCCTTTTTCTGTGAAGCAAGCTTCTTGCTAAAGAAATACATTTCTTTTTTTTAAGATGGGTGGTTCCCCAGAAAACAACAGAAAATGGGAAAGACAGTTTTAGTTTGACAAGAAAGATTTAGAAATAAATTCTATTCATGGGTCAGATCATCTGCTCATTTAAATTTGACGTAGCTGCATTCTGATATAATACTTCTCAAGTAATGTTATGGTTATTCATAGTACATCACAAAGCAGTTACTTATTTAAAATGTCTAATTTCTACATGAATTTTAGGACCTTCTCAGAAAAAGTGATAGCATCTTTGTTTTCCTAAATTTATTCTTCAGCAGTAATTTCCACATTGGATTTGGGAGGTGAGGTAGGTGTGCAATGAGGACACCGATTCTTGCTCCTAGGCTTGCATCTATAGGGACACAAAGACCTGAAATTTTTAACTGTGTGCACACAAGTAAGCATGGGTGTAATAGTGAGCACACATGCTGGTAGGTCTGTGCATTATTAACTGTATAACTAGCACCAGCTGGGAACTTTTCAGTGAAATAATTTTTTTCATAAGAAAAATGCTGTTTCATTAAAACTGAAACACTTCAAGAAAATGCATCAATTTTGATGAATCGGTTGACAAAACAGTTTTTATGGCTGGAGTGGATTTTCTAACTTGAGAGCAAGAGAGAGAAAATACTACTAAAACCCACAGAGAGAGAATTGTTTTGATCAGGAAAAATAATGTCCCAACAAAATTTTGTTTTGTCAGGAAAAAAGTTTGAAAAATTTTGTTTTTATTTAATTGTAGAACAAAAACAAAATTTGAAAATGGTCATGAAACAGACTTGCTGTTTTCCAGTTAGTGGCTCGGGTGACTGTATATGTATGAACAAGTCTGTGTGGAAAAGTGGATACATGAGTGCATATGAATAAGACTCAGCAGAAGCAGAGAAAAGAAGTAGGTGAGAGATCTAAGGACAGTATGTATTGAGAGGGAACAGATGGATTCTGTGTTCAGTTTTATTCTGGAATTGTTGGACGTGTTTTCTCAGGTGGAATTAATGGACCTGTTCTGGAGCCTGTACCCAGGGAATAAGATGGCAGGTGTTTCACATGGATCTGACTGATAATACTAAGTACTTGTACTGGGTGATTAATAGGGTTTATAAAGAGGAAATTAAAGGGGGTTTCAGTGAGGAGACTGACTCATGGGGCAAGTATATGGATTTGTAGTAGGGCTGTGGATCCATTCCCAAGTTTGCTTGATGCCCATCAAAATGTCACTAAGTCTGAATTTTGTGCACACCAATAGGGAGTGTATCCTCTTAGAACCAGACACAAATGGTAGAAAAAGGAAAGTTTCTGTCTCAGAACTCAATGATTTAGAAAAGCAAAGTATACCAAAAAATTATCGTCTTAACACACAGCCCAATTCCTTTGCTTTTCAGCTGGGGAAACAGAGGCAAAGAGTCCTACCTAAACGCCAATAAGATTACTTAATTTCTGTATCAGGGCTTGGACACAGGTAGTAGGAACTCAGGATGTCACATTGGCTCTGATCTGAAGCTACTTATCTTGTTCTCCAGAATCTCAGCTTTCGTTTGAAAAATATGGACCTATCTTTACTTGAAAGTTAATTAGAATGAAGGCAGAGTGTAAATTCAAAGCACAATAGCTTTGAAAGTCAGTTAAGATAAATTGGAACAAGGCACTCATTTCAGAAAAAGAGAATCCACACCTGGGGTTAACCAGAAATAGATATTGTACAAGGTTTTACTGGCTCATGTATGCCTGTTGGGAATGAGGAAAAAAATTAATTGGGCATAGGTATACACAGAGCCGTCCCTAGGGGTGTGCAGGGCCCAGGGCATATCAGACTGTGCAGGGACAAGGGGGATGGTGAGCGGGGCAGGTGGCGAATGGCCAGCACATGGCAGCCGCAGAGAAGCTAATGGCCTGTGGCGGCCGCGGTAGAGCTTGCAGTGCACAGTGGCCGCAGCAAGGCCTGTAGGGTTGCCCCAATTCGCCCCCCATCCCAAAGGGAGAGCCCTGGGTATACAAGCAAAATATCTGTAGAGTAAAATAGCCCACAGGCTTTTCTGCTTTAATTCACCTTTCTGAAGTGTTCTCCACAAGCATATCAGATAAAAAAAGAAATCTAGGTTTCTACACGCAGGCCGCGTCTCCACAGAACACTGACCATGCAGGCATTACTGTTCAGTCATTTAGTACTTGTAT